TATGAGGTGTTTACCTGATGGCCTACGTTAAGCGAGTCTGTAAGTGAACTAATTTGACTTAATACTGACATGTCGTTTTCTAGTTTCTCGAGTTGTTTTTCTAAACTGTTCCGTCGCTGCATTTCTGGAGAAGCTGTYRAAAMAAKGTATATTAGTACTTGAAATGATTGAAAATGACAGTACAACAGCTAAAGCGAACAAATATATAAAAACAACTTACATTTGACAAGCTCCACATGCTCCAGCGACATCTTCCACAGTAGTTTATGCTTGTTAAACTCGCTTCCTGACTGACCAGAAAATCTGGAAAACACGAGAAAAGTCTCACAGATGAGCACGTTATAATGTACAAGACACTGCTGTACGTTACTTACAAACTAAGAGAGCCACGTCTTAACGCGTTTGGTTTTCGTTTCACGGAWGCACAGACGAGTAGATCAGTAAATAAAAACAAGCACCGATCTTTCTTGGTGATGGATCCTCTCTGAAATATTTCAGTACAATATTGTTATTCAGTATTAATAATAATTCATAMCGGAAAAGCACAAAAGAAATCAGTTTGTAAATAATTTGAATGCAGGCGTGCCAAAGCTTACTTGTCGTTGCAYCGACTAATTTAGGTATTCAACGTAATAGTGAAATAGGAGCATGTATACTCACAACTTCAGCAGCCAAATCCTTCCTGAGGAATCGTCTGTTAGGAAGTACAAGCTGCAATGACAATGAAATGCTTATCAGAACATTATTACTATTACCATCGCCTACCATTCATAAAATTACCATTAAACCCAAGAGAACTATCAGAGTGCAATAACACTCGAAAACATSGATTGCATCGACTGGCAAATTGGCGCCAAAACAAGGCTCGGCGCGAGTGTGCTGCAGTCATGCGCAGTACGAATTTCCTATGTGCTGTAACGGCTAAGTATCACAGCGTACATTCACACAGTCACAAGAGTGCTCACTCACCTCTGTTATTCCCTCTATGGATGCCTCGATATCTCTCAAGCGATCAGCTTCTATTTCAGCTTCATTAACTTCCTTCTCGCCTCTGTTCATACGATCTGCCAGCGTCTTGATTTCTCCCAGGGCCAGCAGYAGATTACCGTAATCAGGGTGATCTTGACTTGTGTGCTTAATCATATCCTAAAGACAACATATTGTTTGTCTGAATCTACTATTGAATACCTTGAACGGTTCCGGAGGGGAGAGGGGTGGGGAAGCCATTTTCTAGAACAAAGCATGATGGGTAATGTTGTCCTTGGAGGTTTTGATATCTTTAAAAAAATAGTTTTTTCTAGTTGAAGAACGCCACATATTCTTACCTTTAATGCAAATAAATCAAAAGGCGGTTTATTTAGCGGGCATTAGTAAGTGCCTTTAGAAATTGTAGCACATGGTTTATTGAACGTCCCTCCATTGCAATTTACCTTCAGAATCAGCACATAACGTGGGATTCTCTGCACAGGAATGATCATCAAATCTTGTAATGTATACTTCTCTCTGTGGTCTCTACAGCATTGCTGTTCAAGTGATAATAATGAAACATTAATAAATAATCTTATTTTATCACGTGCGCGAGTAGTCCAACTTACAAACACATTTTTTGTGGCCACCCCCGTCAGTAGAGGAAAAACCACTATGTCACACGTAGTGACGAAGYAAGTGCCTAAGTATGTATTGTATTCTGGGCAAGGAAGTTGGCAAGTACCTATCTTTAATTGACTGTAKTTTACCTTATAAAGATAAAACCTACTCTCTGTGCCATGTTCAGTAAAAGAGCGCATAATGACACAGAAATTTCGTCAAAAAGSGCAGTGCTGTATGCAATGAGGATGCCTGTGGTAGTCTTAGACCGCGTAAAACTGGTTATGAGAAATGCTCAAATAGTTGCAATKATTACATGTGTTGTATACATGTCAAGATTTAACAGTATAAGTGATTTTTAAGGAAAATTCCGGGCTCACCTCAATAAACCGTTGAAAGGCTGGTCGTGATACAGTCGCTATTCTGACTGCTGCTCTTGCATGGAGAAAATGGCTGATAAACGCACTGTACGCATCCATTAGAAAACACTTGGTAAACTAAAAACATAGATAAATGAAGAAATAAATMAATGAAATATCTCGTACTTACAGCCCGCACCTTTGMCATCAGCTGACATTAGCCGTGAAGAATCTGGGTTCGAGATTGATGAATAAATGAATAAAAAAAATTACTCTCCCCATTCCTACTCCCCAGTGCCCTACCCATGGCAATCTATAAATAGCGACATTGTCATACCGATGCCACTAATATGTCTCCTATCTTCTGCTTGTCATGCCAGTCGTTAACTCTCGCCTCCAGCTGTTCCAAGAAGAATTCGTGACATAGCAATATGTCCGATATTTGGTAGAACATCTCGTCTACTTGTGCGGGGTCTGCGATGTGGGCGTTCTCGGGTTTTTTCAGTGGTTTATAATAKGCCTAAAATGAAAAGAACACAGRAAAAAATTGAGAATTGTTAGAACAAATTATCTTAAGACCACAGAAAATTGTTGACAGAGAGGATAAGACCATAAAGAATGTGGGACATTCTTGGAATGGATTAAAGATGGATCCTTAATGTGTAATGGTTAGAATGATCGATCGTAATGGTTGGAATGATTGATCTCGATTGGACATGATCTTTGGAATGATCAATCAATGAGTGCTCATAATTCTATTGATGATTAAAGTGATTGATCTTTTTATCTTTATTTCGTCATGGATGGAATGATCGATCGTAATTTGTAATGAACGAACATAATAGTCGTGAGTGTTGGAATTATCGATGGTGATTATATATTGATTGAGATGATTAATCCCAATCAATTAATCTTAATTACATAATAATTGAGAACGATCGATTAATTTTATGATGGTTGGAACGTTTGATCACATTTATATAATTGTTGGAATGATCGATCGTAATTATATGATGGCCCTAGAAGAATTGATCTTGATTGATCTTATTAGTCGTGTGTATTGGAATGATCGATCGTGTTCATATATTAACTGGAATAATGATGATGATCGTAYGATGTTTGTAACGATTAAAGATATTTATATAATGAATGGAATATCGAACGTAATCATATGATAGCTAGAACGATTGATCTTGATTGTAATGCGAATTGGAATAATTGATCGTGAATGGAAGCTAGATTACAAATAGCATTGATGATCTATTGCATAACAATGTTTCCATCGGTTTCTTCAGTACCTTAAAGTGCTATTAATATAATTTACTACCACTTAGTGSCTTTAAATGCTACCATTACGAATGACATCAACGTTATTTGTATTGTCATCTGTCCCTATACCCAATGTATTGCTCTATGTACCCGTGTTAATTAACCGAGTCAAGTTCGATCTAAGTATGATCACTTTTTCTAGAGCATTAAAATATAAAAAACATCCCTAGCGAGAGAATAGCTTGATTGTTGATCTGTGAAAGTTTCATCCCATGTTACTATCATAAAGTTTATCAACACGCGCCTTTAAAAAGCAGGCATAAAGGAAATACGCGAGCGAGTCGATCCACCCTTTACACACACTTTACACACGTTCGTATAATGTACAATAAAGAATAGAGAAATATGTACATTTTGAAGAGTGTCTGTTAACGTTGTCTGTCTGTCTGCTCTAGGCAGCTGTAATTCTTCCAAGTCTATTGACCTTGGCCATTGATAACCTAAAGCTGTGCTGACAAATGKCCAATGTTTTTCCGCACGCCSAAACACGAGGTACTGCAGTCATAATTTCTTATAATCGCGCGTAAACTTAGCAATCTTGGATTACCAAACTTAAAAAAYCTTGTTTCCAAACAAGAATGAAAAATTATCAGCATAGTCAGAGTACTCTGTTGAAGACTTTTTTGATTTAAAGAGAGGATGAATTACTAAGTACTGAGTTCAACTAAAATCAGTAAAATACGCCGCATTTCAATTTTAGTTCAGTTACTTGGACGTTTTAAAACAAAGCGAAAAGATACGTTGCGTCCATTAGTTAAAATTCCATTACTTTCATTATAAACATTCATTATAAAGAAACAATTATACGTGAATCAAAAAACCAACATTGTTCTTGGTTAAGAGTTTCTTATCTGAGAGACGCGTGCGGAATACCAAAGGTCGCACTTGATACACAACGGATTGAGGCCATTTTAGCTAAGATTACACGGAATCGTCTAGAAATATGAAGCGTGCGTACTGTTATTTTGGAAACAATGGTCCATAAATAGTGYATCTAGAAATAGAATCAGCACTTTAACCTTGCAATGTCGCATTGCCAAAAACATCCAATTAAGATTAAGGATCTTCTGAYGGATACGACCACATGCTCGCAATAGAAGGTGCCCGGATTAGTAACTCATAACACCACGATGACATACTATTAAGTAATAACTAATCATTATACGTATAATGCCATCAGGGTTGAATGGGGGCCTTCACGTCAGGGGGTGATCTGCCACCACAGCCTTCCCAATAGCGGATAAGATATCAACTAGAGCAACTCGTACCCGTAAAGAGGGGACATTACCGTCGGAAAGAATACGTCTGGAAGATTAGATGCACACAAGTGAATCATAATATAGCTTTGCCAACGGTCTCGTTCAATTATAAGTTGAAGTGTATTTAAGAAATATAAAACAGCTCTGTCCTCTGATATAAACACGGTGGGAGTTGGAAAACACGAGAGAAGCAAGCTTAGAAATACGAACATAGCGAGGACAGAAACAAGAGAAAAGGGGTCATTTTATAGTTCTTTTATATTTTTTTTATTTGTTTTTCGAGCGAAAAACAAATTTTCCTAGTAAGGCGTGTCCTCTGAATATAAACACGGTCGTCAGCCAATCAGAGCGCGCGTTATATCAAAAAATTTATAATAAAGAATACAAAACGCGAATATAGAAACTGACGTATGAGTTGCGGTAGCGGTCTATAGACAACCCCAGGCTGGATGGTCACCCCCTGGCTTTGTAGTATGTACACTTGCATTGTACTATAATTATCATATCATAATCCACCACTTAAAAGACAAATGAGTACTTACAGAGATAATATACTGGAGATTCTGGACGTACGATTGCTCTGTTTCTAGTAGGTTTTGGACAACATGTCGCTTGATGTCCTAAAGAAACAACAGGCGGTTAGTGTTTATTATATATAAATCATTTATATTAACTAATTAATTTATTAATTATAAATTAATTGATGATAATCACAGTCACTGTAATGTGGTAATAACATTATAAGTTAACAAATCCAAGATAGCAATCCAAGAAAGAATCACGAGTTAAAAGATAATCATTTCGTCTCATGAAAATACAAAATACGGCTAAAATCCGGAAGTTCATTCAACGCTCTAGAGCACTACTGCGCATGTCCATCTGTGACAGCGTCCTTAGTATATAAAGACGTCACAATTTCTTTAAATGAACACGGCCAAAAGCTTTAATCGCATTGCAGGTGACAAACTTTAGAGCAATGATAAAACTAGATTGAATTTAATAGCATTAGATGGTATTACGGTCAAAAGCATCAACCGAAATGGACAGTTCAAGTAGAATAGTCAAATACGCGCTATAGAAAACTACAGAGTTTTACAAGCGTAAGGTCTCTAAGTGACTGTTTTAAGTCCCTCTTCATATATTTATAGAGGATATTCGTGCTATAGTGTGCCTAGCATATTGAATATTAGCTCACTTACATAAGACAATAGAAGTGGTATACTACACGCTAAAAATGGTTCCCATAGAGATTGGAATAAACGCCCTATAGTTACAGTGAGCATTACGACGTTTCTAYGTGTATAMCAACGGGSGTTTTATCGTGTTTTTGTTATTATTTGTTTTGTTTTTTAGTAATTCAATGAATACATTTTCATCAGTAAATTAACTAAAATATTTTCGATTCTCTCCGGACCATTTTTCGGAAAAATAGATAGGTAAAATAGGACAAAATTCGTGGAAACGTGATAAGATAACTAATCAGTTCTATAAATAAAGGAATTGAAATTACGAGTATGAGATAATAGTGAAAAACGTAGATCAAACAAGTAAATAATAGAAAGATAGTCAAGACAAATAAATCAATTCATGAATCAATCATGAATAAACAACAACAACAAATAAAATAAGGGAGACATTAAAAAGAAATGAGTATATAAATAAATAAACAAATAATTAATTAAATAAGTAAATAAACGAGTAAACAAATAAATAAACCAAAAAATAAATAAATGAGTAAATAAATAAGTGTACAAGTGTACAAGTTTGAAGTGTACAAACACAAATGACGTAAACATACAGATAATTGAATAACTACAGCTTACCGAAATTCAAATGAACAATGCATGCACAAAAATATGAAAAACAAAACAAAAGCCTTTAAAAAAGAAGAAAAAGCCTTATAAAAACGAAAAAATCGAACAGATCACCAAGAGAGAAACATAGAATCATCGTAAGTATGAAAATCGAGCAAAATAAAAAGCTAAAATAACGGTCACCCATTTTTCGCAAAAAAATATAACAAAACAAAATGGCGATGAAAGGTTGCTAATGAAGAATCAAACATGTAATCATAATCGTGGCAAGCCATCGCGTGATTCATCAATAAATAAAGACATGATTTAGGACAATGTTTGCAAAGAGTGGTTAGTTAATATAGTTAAACGAGCAATAGGTAACAAACAATGACGGGCAGAAAAGCAAATGTCGCTAATTTATTGACATATACGATGAATTCTCAGCCTACGACGCGACAACGCGATGAATGGAAAACATCAAATTCGTCTACTGAACAAAAAAAATTCACTTTTCTCGTTTCACTTTGACAGAATGGGAATAATCCAATTCATGTCAAATAATACCCCCTCTCCAATAAACATCGCTTGTCAACTGATCATTTCTCGATTCGATATTTACCATTCATAAAAGGCGATTTTTCATTCTTTCTTGCMAACCAACTCGGCATCCTTTTAAAGGCGAATTTCTCCAAGATTACATGTCGATAATAAGGATTTGCCACAGAACTAGCCTCCACAAGATGTCAACCGTGATAAACGAGCGACTATCTCTCCAAGCTTTGTAATTCAAATCAGTTTAAAGAAATCATGTTAATGAGGGACTCGACGTAAATACAGTCAATACCCAATCAAGCAGGAGAACAGATTTATTGGGGTTTAATACGCATCACAGAAACACGAAAAAAYCATGTCCTTTAATYATTTGTAAAAACACATTAGTGTATTAGTTTCGGCCGACGCGAGGGGAGCCGTAGATGCTGAAACAGGTGAAATAGTCCAAAATGTCGTTGTAAAGATAATATAAGAGGAAACAAAACCGATCATCGTTCAAAGGTGTTGTCACGCAAACAAACCAGTGGCCGTTATCACTGAAAGCTGTGGTCGGATTATAGAAAATACAAGACTTCACATATATTGCCTCTGCAATGCGACCGCCTTGAGAAACCGACCATTTAACACGTTATCGGTCGATTTTCAAGTATAAAATCGAACACAATATGTACTAAGATAAATCAAGTCTACAYGGTAAGAACCCCCTAAACAACGACCACCTGAGGCCTATATACCGACCGCCTTATTATATCGAACAGCTGGCACAATCAAGACAGATATATCAATAGCCTGTTTGATGGTGATTCTGGTCAGAGTGTTTAGTAATTCGAGTCAAAATGGCGCCATTTTTGTGGTATCTTATTCTCGCGATACAAATTGGCGCTGAGACATTCAAAGTAAGGTAAAATGCATTAAAAGGGTTTCMTTCTACGATGTAATTACTTCTGTTATTATGTAAAATACACAATAATTACACTACGAAGTATTTCTGTCATTCATTCGTCATTTCCGTGTTTTCAYATATCAAAATCCTACGCGCTCCATGAGATTACTATTCCATTAACGTCCTTTACTAAATATATTCTTMTTCCTCATACGGCACAGACAGCGTAAACACTACAAGACTTTTGAACCGAATAGAATTGATAAATAAGGCCACATTATAGCATTCGAGTGAATGTTTCTTTAAATATATGAGATAATATACGTACTAGAGACGAGTGAAGACGAAAAAATACAAAGAAAAAACTCAAGGTCAGTACTTCAATTAAACAATCTAGAGTGGCTTCATATAGAWACACACCTAAAGCAACATTCGTTCGTTTTCTACATCGAATACAGACCTACTTGAACACGCCCTCAACACACGCTTGGAATTCTTTTTTGACGTTTGACGTCACTKCAAAGTACTATGACGTAATAAGCTACGTTACTTACATGTTTCGACTTAGCCTTTGGCTGTAGTTTATCCATCACTGGTTGGCTGTCTTGYAATCCTGTGGCGGGAGGTCTCTCGCTCTCTTCAATCACAGGGATTGGGCTAGTACCGACCTTTCTCTCGAGCTTGACGGGTTCAGGGAGGGGCCGCACCACTTCAGTCAGGGGGGTTTCATAAATGGGTTCCATTGCAGCTACGGCTAGCTTAGCTAGTTTCATTTGTGCTTTTTCGGCCGTTAACGTGCCGGGGAACAGTTGTTTTCTTGGTTGGGTGGGCGTGGTGGGTGCCGAGTGAGTCTTCAGGGATGATTTTAACAAATCCATTTGGTACATAGAGTCTGTGGTGAGTTTCGCATGAGAATCGTCTTTGCTACCCGTGTTATTACGAGCTTTTTCGATATCYGCCATAGTTTGTTTGGGTAAAGAAGAAGGACTAGACTTAGTTCTCGAAACTGTCGGCCTTTCAAGGCGTTTGGCTAACAAGGCTTCTTCTTTCTTGATTTTCTCTGTGATTAGATTCGGGGTGCTGTTACTGGTTCGGTAATGGGTCAGTTCTGCCGCTTCVGCAATGGTTTCACTTAGAGGCGCTCCTGCACCATTCGTYCTGCCACTTGGGTCGCTTTGAGATCTCCACGCATCGTTTTTACCTGGTCCCAGTCTGTTTTTCTCCTGGGTGGGGATTTCACCACTGTCTGTCAACTCACCACCGATCTCGCTAAACCCGCTCGTGGTCATAGAATATTGATCCAAGTTCACTTGGCTGGTACTGGAMGAATCTCCTTCACTACGTGAAGCCGAATCGTCTTCGCTGGTATCAAATATCGTATCCACTTTTTGAAGAGGGATGTCATCGCTGATGATTGCTTCATCATTATCAATGTACAAGTCTGTGGTTATCTCGGGAACTGCAAAGTTCTTATTTTCATCTTGTTGGCTGGTTCTCATTTCTTTGTTCGGATAGCTGTCGGGTTCGGGAGAGTGTCGGTTTTTGGGCGTGCTACCTTCATCACTGTCGATTGCTACCARRGTGTTTCTTTTGGAGCCTTCATTCATATCAAAATCTGTAACAAGAGATGGACAAATAATGCTGTATTGAAACGAATCAATATCATATTAATAAGATTCATAATTATAAGCAAAAAGAGTTGGATAAACTCATCTACCGGGTAAGTAATATGCCGAATTCACTTCAATACTTTAACGAAATCGAGTCGCATGCGAGTTATCACCAAGTTAATTAAGCCGGCAGGATTAATGGTTTTATTTATATTTATATTATATTTGTTTTTTTGGAAAAAACATTAAATCAAAATTTGTCTAGTCGCTCAAATTTCTACAAATAAATAAATATATGTCTAGATAGACATGTATTAAACTTACAGTAAAAGAATAACAAAAATCTCACTTTAGACCTCGGAATACCCACACATGCAATAATTTGTTTTATCTGTTGGATAATGTACAGCATTTAACATATATTCATGTTTAATTTTCAAGCTTCCAGCAAAAATGTAAGAAACCTTTATTTTTTTTTACTTGAAACCAAAATAATAATTAGTTATTCATGATGTTAATACAAGCAGTCTATTACTATAAACACAATATTCTTAGCTTATCTTATAAAAGGAATTTCAGACATACTGCAATATTTATCTATGTAAAACCAAAGCACTACAAATGACAACAAAAGAGTGAAACAGAGAAAATGAAAGAATGATAAGGAAAATGGAAAGAAAGGGAAATAAAAAGGTATGATAGAGAATTTAAAATGACAAAAACAAAAAAAAGTACCATCCRAAATAATATCAATGTTTATGCTCTACAATGAAAATATTTACTTACTCTCTATATAAATATGTTTCATAATAATAATAATTAAAAATAAGTATATTTTACCATCAAACATTGAGACTCCATTACTACAAAACACTATAGACATGTCAACAATATAGTGCCTCTAGATATAGRCTTCTACTACAGTAATAGCCCTAGCTAAGCAGCATTTCTCACTCCAAGAGCACAGGAATAAACTTATCTCTTGAAGACTAAAAGATTGTGGTATTTTAAGCATATAGCCTTAGGACAAATAGAGAAATAGAAGATAAAATGTTTACAAATACTGTAACTATATTGTGACAAAGTCAGTATAATAATAATAATAGAAAAAAATGAATGTAATAAAATACAAAGATTTTGAGTCTTTGTGAAGCTATCTAATCAAAGTTAATTCAACATGACACTTTGACAATCRAATAAAAAACAGAATTTGATATATTGATATTTGGCTATGTAAAGTGGTCCATTTTATGTGAGCAATGATTTTATATCCTGAGATAAAAATAGATATCAATGTGAAAAATGCATTATAGAAAAAGGATTTGATTTAGACTCTGAAAAAGATCAGAMAATATACCATAAATTACATTTATGTATATTTATCATTTAACATCTCATTCCTTTAATTTTTCATTCATGTTCTATTCACTTTCCATTAATCTATTATTTCAAATCAAGTTATTCATGCATTCTTTTTTTCATGCATTTATTTACTTCAACAGTTTTTTACATTTATTTAATCCAAATATTTCCAGATTAATGTGTTATTCTATCATTTGTGTATTTATAAATTAATCAATTATCAATTTATCTATTAATTCATTCATTCATCTAATAATTAATCAATTAATCTATGCTTAATTTATTATTATCTGATCAGTTCATCTATTAATTCATTTATTATTTTAATAATTCATTTAACAATAAACCAATAATGGCTGATAATTGATAATAATCAATTAATTCWTAATCTATATATGTATTTATCAATTAATCAACTAATCAATTAATTTATTCAAGTATCTTTCAAATAATCAATCAATTTATCTTGATCTAATCAATTTTTTACTTATTTCATTTTTATTCATTATATTTGCAAATCAAAGTATCTATTTGCTTATCAATCAATTATAAATGTAATGGATTTCTAAGTTATTAATATATATACAGTATACAGTAAAATAACAATACAAAAATTTCTTGCAATGAGTCAAAATTAAGTGTCTTCATTGAAACACCACTCTCAAAYGCAGATGTTAACCAAAGCTTGGYATTTGAGGATTTAATTGAAAATTAAAACATAAACCGMTATGTTTGATGTAATAATTTATGTCAATTTACGACAATATTGKAACTAAAACACTATGTAAGCTTGAGACAAAGAAAAAACTAAGCCATGATACSGTCAGGCAGTCTGTCAATCTAGAGCAACATTTCATCATAGAGAATATTTACAAAATTCAACTGTTCAAATAAAAACAAATATAAGTGTTTTTTTTCTTGGCAAATTTTCACAATCCAGAGAAAAATTCTCAGAACTATCATTCTTTTGAAATATAAAACGATTTTTAKACTGAATTATTTTTTTGCTACCATATCAAGACTGCTTTTTGGTTTCAATGCATTTTAAGTGTGTCTGTTCATGAAAGGATTAGAAAAAATGTTAACTACAACATCTAAATGAAGTAAATTCTACCAAAACTAGAAATATGTACATAAAATAGCTGATGAACATTCTAGACAAAACCATGGTGGAAAAGATCTCTTAATAGAAATCAATATCTGCGTACTCGAGGATTAACAGTGACATTTCAAATATAACACATCCTGAATTGAATAGCTATAAACACATGGTTCAAAATAATAACCTACCAAGAAAATTTGCTTTCAGAARTGGCAGTAAAATCCATCATTTTTCTCAATATTTCAAAATGAAGCCATCTCCATTTCCTTATGTCGCATGGTCACACAATTAAAGCATACCAAACGGCTAATACATTTATGTAAATGAATTAAAAACCAATTGTGTTATGTAGTACTGTTGGTATTATTTGTCTAAGAGCTTTTGACCCCCTAAAAATATTTTATTGTTRTGAAAGCTCTGCTAGGAATAGATGTAGAAATAGAGTTTAATGAAGCTAGTAATATCAGGATAACTAAATTATAAGTAAAWCTAGTGGTTTATTTGTGTGTTATGCATGACAAAGTAACCTTGATATTTAATGCTGTTCCAAGAGTAATTTAATACTGTTTGATTTAATTGGAAAGTTAAATAATCCAATATACTAAAACATAAATTAAATAAAATTGTTAAATGGAGCATGACACAATATAAAC